ATATATATATATATATATATATATATATATATATATAAATATTTTCATTATCCTATCTTAGAGTTAATTGATAAGTAATATAAGTAAAGTAAAATAAAATCAAATATAAATTCTTAATATCTTTATTTTTAATTAATAATTGTTTAAATTATATAATAATAATATTATTTTAATTATTGATAATATAATAAATCGAATAATAATATAATAATATAATAATCAAAAATTTTTTCTAGTATTGGTAGACCCAAACATATACGTGTTATGGCTGGTGCTTTAGAAGGAGATCTTTTTGTTGGTCCAATAGCAGAAGAACATCGTGGTCTCTTATCTCTTCGTTATCCAATGGAACATGGAGTTGTTACAGATTGGAATGATATGGAAAGAATTTGGTCTTATGTTTATAGTAAAGATCAATTAGCAACATTTAGTGAAGAACATCCAGTTTTATTAACAGAAGCACCTCTTAATCCAAGAAAAAATAGAGAAAAAGCTGCAGAAATATTCTTTGATACATTTAATGTTCCAGCATTATTTGTTTCAATGCAAGCTGTACTTAGTCTGTAGGTATTTAGTTATAATAGATTTACAATTTTATTTATGTTATAATGTTTTAATAATATTGAAATTAAATATTAAATAATGTTCTTATTATATGAATTTAATTTAAAGATATGCCACAGGACGAACTACAGGAGTAGTTTTAGATGCTGGAGATGGTGTAACACATGCAGTACCTATTTATGAAGGTTTTGCTATGCCTCATAGCATTATGAGGGTTGATATAGCAGGACGTGATGTCACAAGACATCTTCGACTTCTTTTACGTAAAGAGGGTATTAATTTCAGAACTACAGCAGAATTTGAAATTGTTAGAACAATTAAGGAAAGAGCATGTTATCTTGCTAGCAATCCTCAAAAAGAAGAAACTATTGAAACAGAGAAATTCCAATATATATTGCCTGATGGAAGTTATTTAGAAGTAATAATTTATGTTATTTTTTAAAAGTAGTTGTTATTTATTCTATTTATTTGAATAATTTGATTGACAATATATTAATATTTTAAACTTATATGAAAATATATAATATATTTAGAATATATTTCTTTATGGTAGATTGGTCCAGCACGATTTAGAGCTCCTGAAGTGCTTTTTAGACCAGATTTAATTGGAGAAGAATGTGAAGGACTTCATGAAGTATTAACATATTCCATCCAAAAATCTGATTTAGACTTAAGGAAAGTATTATTTCAAAATATTGTTCTATCAGGAGGATCAACACTATTCCGAGTAAGTATAAAATTAATGAAATTTTATCTTTATATGAGTATTAATATATACTAATATAATTAAATTTTAAAATCATTATAAATATTTTTCTTTTGTGTTAGGGATTTGGTGATAGATTATTATCGGAAATTCGTAAAATGGCACCAAAAGATATAAAAATTAGGGTATGTAATAATATATATATAAATAAATATTATTTCACATTTAATTTTTTTTATTAAAAATATTTAAATTCAAACATATAGATATCAGCTCCTCAAGAACGATTATATAGCACATGGATTGGAGGTTCTATTTTGGCTTCTTTAGATACTTTTAAAAAAATGTGGGTTAGTAAAAGAGAATATGAAGAAGATGGTATAAGAGCAATTCATCGTAAGACATTTTGAATTTAATTCAGAATGATTTATGTCATGTCAAATAATTTAAGTACAACATATAAATAATGGCACAGTCGGCATCAAACTCGACATGTACCGTATTTACTATGCTCTTTGAATGCTTTTAATATTGCAATTTTTTTTTAAGTATTGCTTCAACTTCTTTTACATGAAAATATATTCCAAGGAATCATAAAATATTTATATTTCATAAATTAGAATAGGAAAACATAATACAAAAAACAATATAATAAAATTTACTTACTTATATTCAATAATTTATGTAAAATTTTTCATATGAAAATATTTATTTAGTTATAATTTTAAAATAAAACTTTTATTATATTTTTAAGCAATATTTCATTAAGATTCCTTGGAAATGTACATAAAAGTTTTCAAAGTTAGATATATTTTAACTTTCGAAGTTAAATGTACTTTGAATTAAAACTAAATAATATATTTAATAATAGATTTGTAATAAAATCAGTTCTTTTCAAAATACTATCTTTCTAAGTTATAAATTTGTTTTTTTTATACTATTTATAATTTTATATTTAATATAACAAAAATAGAATTTTATTAAAACAAATATAAAATGCTTTGATTAACAAAGTTATCGTTATAAATAATGTAATTTCTATTTATAGTAACAATTTTGCAAAGTATTTGTAAATATGTATGCTTTGGTAAAATAAATCTATAAACTCTTTACATATGTACTGATTATATCAGTTTTTATGATGAAATAATAATTGCAAATTTATATTCTATATATAATTTCGTACATAACAAATACATAATAGAATATGTAACAACATAATAAAATTAAAAAATTTTAAATTATTTAATAGTAATTTATTGTAAAAATATTAAAAATATATCAGAAAGTACTTGAGTTTTTTTTTAATAATCATGAAATCATCGAATGTTATTGTCTGCGATTATATTTTCTTCTTTAAATATATTTTTATATTTATAAAAAAGATTTATAATTTTGTTATATATTGTTATATTTATATTTTACACATTTAATTTATTAATTAGCTTATATTTTAATTTTATTTATATTTTATATCTTATTTTGTTTTCTTTCATGAATTATAAATAATAATCAGAATTGTACAAACAATACTTATATTGTTTATTTTTATAATAAAATAATTAATTATTATTGGGCAAATTATGTCAATTAAATGTGGAAAATATATTTTTAAATAAATATAGCATAATCCTACACTTTCCTATACAATTAAGAGTTTAATATATGTTTAATTTTATATAAAATTTATATATATATATACATATATATATATATAAGTATACCTATATAATAAATAAGTAATCGAATATGGCGATGCCTATGGTGACGCATCGTTTAGTAACATCTTATTTGCACAAATATTTTCAAATAATTTTAAGAGACAGTCTAAAATAAATATTGTTATATTATTTTCTTACTTCTTAATAATTAGAATCTGCAAATCTGGATGAAACTAAGGAAAAAATGATCGCCGCCTCAGAACCGGTGGTAAGTTAAATGTTTTTTAGGTTATGGTATAATTAATAAACATATGTAATTATAAACTTTGAAAAGTATTGTTATTTTTAATATTGAAAATATCTATGATTTAAATAAGTAACTTACGTATTCATTTTCAACTTTATATATTCTTATAAGGAATATATTCCTGGTGGAAGACAAATAATTTTACGACATCCTGAATCAGCGACTAATCAACAATTATCAAACAATCAAACAGTTGAAGGAGAAAGTATTTTATTACAAAAATTTAGTCAAGTAAACATTTCAGAAACTTTACCAGTAAGTATAATCATTTTATATATTTTATAATCATATATTAGTATTTTAAATATTTAAAGTTTTTACTATATATAATTTTTATTTATTTTTATTTGCTATAAATAAAATATATAGAAGGAATTTTGGATTGTACGTGAAAATGATACATGTGGTGAAGAAGAATTATATTGTTCAGGCAAAATTGCAATTCATTCAAAGGGTAATCAAACTACTAGAATATTGCAGACAACTTATACTTGTGAAACAGATATTAAACATGCACTATGGTGCAAATTTCATACTAATATACCTGATCATTTAGCAAAAAGAAAAGAAATAGATGAGGAAGATTATGATAAAACAATAGAATGCATTTGTTTAATTGATTCATATACTCTTAAAGTATTTACCAATATTGGAGAAGATTATGTATCTAGTTTACAATTTCAGGTAATATTTTGACTAAATTTACTTATTTAATGAAATTTATAAGTTATATAATTTAGGTATCTGCTGTATGGGCAACAAAATATGGTATTTTGTTGGAAAAAACACAAGTCCCTATATCAGAAATAAGGTTTGTTTTTTGTTTTTTATAAAGTTTATATATTGAAACTGGAATATAAATATTTAACAGTATAATATGAATTTTAATCAATTTTATAGATATACATCATTGGAAGGAAATAGATTACAATTAAAAAATGATATAAATTTACCAGTAGTATTTTCTCTTACACATCCTTTAGATGAAATTTGTCCTGTACTTATTAAACATGGTATCATATAAATCTTGTTATAATCCTTTAATTCTATAAAGAATATATTTAATATATAATTTTATTTATAGGAAACATATCATATATGTATGATTCAAATCAACAAATTATATTTACTAGTTCTGAACCATCTTTGGCTGTGATATATGATACAAAGACTGGATTACATTCTGTATATAAAATACGTAAAGCTTCAGTAGAAGAATGTCAAGTAGTTTGTGGAAATAATGACACTACTACTAGTATATTTAATCAATCAGCAAGTGCATCACCATTAAACATTGGAAATAATCTTTCCTATAAAAGTACAAATAAAGGACATTTAAGTATATTTGGTAAAAATTATATGATTTCTTATTTAATTCAAAAAAATAACAATTTTTATTTAATAATATATTTACATTTTAGGAGTTCCAAATCCCCAATTTAATCTGGGATTAGGAATATCAAATAGTCCATTTGGTTCTCGAACATCTTATACTACTACTTGCTCTGGAGGTCCTTCACCTTCGCAGCAACAACAACAACATTCAAGATCTCAGAGTCCAATGGCAACTATTTCACGTTGTCAATCTCCTACTCATTCTGCTTTTTCACCTTTACTTAGTGCACCTGCAAGTTCGATTATTCATCATACAAGGTTGCAACAAATGACTTCTGTATTAAATCATACACAAAATAGTCTTCTAGGTAGCTGCAGTAATATACAGTTACAGGATGTTATATCACCAAGTAAACCTTTGTACCCTGAAATATGTCTTGATCATGTATGGACTGAAAATGTGGGAATTCCAAAGTATGTATCATATTTTTATATAAATCGTTCCAAATTTTTTTCATATTTTCTATTATTTTAAAAAAATATAGCTTTATTATTTTTTAAGGGATATTACATCTAGTCGAGCATCAAAAGTATTTTTGTCATCAGATTTTGTGGGACAAAATTACTTATGTTATTTAGTTCCACATAAATCTCAACTTTTTCTAGTAAGACTTGAAAAGACAAATAAACAACAACAAATTATTTTTGGCATGGTAACGAATATTGTAGCAAAGGGTGCTGTTAATATACCAGTTAGTATTATTATTTCATATTAAAATATAATTATTAATAAACAATAAAATATAAAATGTTTTTTATTTTAGAATTTACATATAATAGCAATAATGGATTTATCAAATGGAGTGGTATTATATTCAGGTGTAACTTGTATCGGAAAATTACATGTAACAGGAATACTTCCAAATTTAACTGGATGTAACTATTTTTTATCTAATATTAATCATAAATTAGGTTCTCCTTTTCCACGACGAAGTTCCTTAATTTCTCAAAATTGTACTATTTCTCATGATATTAAATTTGAAGAAGAATTACATTTATTAAGTCCTGTAGGTGGTAATTGTGCAAGACCACCTATTTTATTAGAAAATCCTTTAGTAGAAACTAATTTTCTCGTTTTAAAAGAAGCAGTCGGAAATAAAATTACTTTAGAATATGGAAGTAAAAATTATTTTCGAATAACATTACCGACATCCAGTACCTCTCCTCTAGGTAAATAAATAGTAATAATAATTAAAAGTTATATAATAATAATAATAATAATAATAATTATTATTATTATTATTATTATTATTATTATATTCATTCTAATAAATTATTCTGTATTCTTTATAGTAACCAAATGTTTACAAACATTAAGAGGTGTTTTACAAAAAGATTTAGCAATGCAATTATTAGTAAAATGGTATGGGGCACGAAATGCTCCTGGACCTCAAGATTTTTCACCAGAACAGGAATGGTATCTTTTTCTTGTAGTTTTATTTACATTATTAGGATATGAAGTAGAAAAATTGCAGTTAATTCAAACAAATGAAAAAGATCAACTTGGTGAACGCAATAGTCCTATAGTGGTATCAAAAAAGCAGAAAACAAACAATTCTGGATCGAATGATGACTGGAAATATATGACAAATTTTATAAAAAATGGAAATTCACAAATCTTTATTTCAAATATTCTTGGTCTTCAAAAAACATCTAATATATTTCAAACATCAATATCATACATTACAGAATCAAATAATACAGGCAAAATAAACGCACAATCTATTTTATTTCCATATTTTCCGCTCATTCTGTTTTCTTTACATCTTTTATATGAAGAATTAAAGTTAAATATTGTAATGTCAGAAAGTTTACCTTTACTCGCACAATTACTATATCAATTAAGTTTGGATTTAAGATTCGATATATATTCTCATCATTATTTTCTTGATTATCCATCTATATATTATTTAAAAAATGCTGCATCTCAAATGAAGGATATAGACTTGCAGAAAATTATTATACCAAATTATGTACCATCAAAACCACCAAATGTGTTTGAAACATTAAATAATTTACTAAATGGAATAGAAATAACACCATTTCCTTATTTAAGTCAAGTAAATCCGAAGACAAAAAATATAATTTATTTAATGGCACTTATAGCAAACGAAAATCAAGTTATTATACATGAAATTGATAAATTTATAAAGCATATAATACCAGCTGGAAGTCGTATAGATTTTCAAGAAGGTGGAAATAAATTTGAAAAAGAAATATATAAAAATATTGAATGTTCTGCAATAGATAGAATAGTTTTATTGTATCATGAATTAGGTAGGTTTTTGATCATTAGCTTTAATCATCATTAATTTTGAATATAAATTAAAAATTATATATATATATGTAATTATATATATATAATTTTTTTATATTTATAGGTATGAATAAAAAGGATCTTGAAACATTACCTCCTGGTATATCATTATTATTAAAAGATATAATGTATAGATGTAGAGAACGGCCGCCATCAAATTGGCCAATGCAAGCTTATGAATTAGTAGATCGACAAGATTTATCTGAATTAGATAAATTACTTCTATCAAATCATTTAGAAAATGAAGGAAAAAACTATTCAATCAAAGATCCTGAACAAGATGATGGCATGGAATTTGATGATGCTGTACGTTTAATTGTATATATATATATATATATATATATATATGCAAATATACAAAATATTATATAATATTATTTGTTAAAATTATAATATATAATTAATTATTATAATTGATGAATTATAATGTTATATATAGATATTGAAATTGAGATTTAACAAAGATCATAGGATAGCAGAAGTTCGAAAACTCCTAAACTCGTCAAAACCGGTAAGAATAGCAATAGTTCAGAGGCCAGATGTAAGTGATCATGAATTTATAGAAGAACAGGAGAAACATTTACATGCACTATGCACAAGAACAATGGCACTTCCAGTAGCTAGAGGCATGTTTACACTCAGAACTTCAACTCCTATTATTACAGAACAATTACCAATTCCACGACTTTGTTTAACTGGTATGAAAAAATAATGGTATTCATATTACTAAAATTTTTTTACAATCATAAAATGTTATTATATGTATAGGAAAAGCACCTCCTCGTGGAACAACTGTAGAGCTAGCTCATATAGATGTTCCACCAAATATGAATTTATGGCCATTATTTCATAATGGTGTAGCTGCAGGTCTTCGTATTCATCCAGATGCATCTAATATTGATTCAACATGGATAGTATATAATAAGCAACAACAAGGCGAATTTGGTATTGAACATTCAGGATTCTTAATGGCTCTTGGTTTAAATGGTCATCTAAAAAATTTAGCGCCTTTTAGTATGTATGAATATCTAGTTGAATGTCATGAGGCTACCAGTGTTGGACTTCTATTAGGATTATCAGCAACTCATCGTGGTACAATGAATGTTTCTATGACTAAATTATTATCTCTTCATGTAGAAACTCTATTACCTCCAACAAGTATCGAATTAAACGTTCAACAGAATGTTCAAGTTGCAGCATTGATGGGAGTTGGTTTAGTATATCAAGGAACTGCTCATAGACATATTTCATATGCTTTATTATCAGAAATTGGTAACTATTTAATATAGAATTATAATTTTTATTATATGTAATTTTATTAAATTAATTAAATTTAAAGGTAGACCTCCAGGACCGGAAATGAAAAACTGTATAGATCGAGAATCTTATTCTTTAGCAGCAGGTCTTGCATTAGGTTTAGTAGTATTAGGATGTGGAAGTGGATCAGATTTAGCTAATATACCAGATACTTTACATTATTATATGGTTGGAGGATATATTAGACCTTTTACTGGAGCACAAAAAAGATAAATATAAATCACCTAGGTATATATATATTCATGTTATAATAGAAATTATATATTTAAATTTTCTTTTATATCTCTTTCTTTTTTTATTATTTTAGTTACCAAATAAGAGAAGGTGATTCTATAAATATTGATGTGACAAGTCCTGGAGCAACTATAGCTCTAGGTCTTATGTATTTTAATACAGGCAATAGAGCAGTAGCAGAATGGATGCAAGCTCCTGATACTCAATATTTATTAGATTTTGTACGACCTGATTTCTTATTATTGAGAATATTAGCAAAATCACTTATTCTCTGGAATGAAATTGAACCAACAAAATCCTGGGTTTCTAGTCATGTTCCTAATATCGTTTATAAATATAGATTACAAAAACCAACTTCAGAAATAGGACAAAATGTTGATTTAGAAACTATGAAGTAAGTATTTGAAATATGTATGCATATAAGAATATTATTATAACATTTTTTTATACTAATTATACTAATTATTATTAAAATACAGTCAAGCTTATTGCAATATAATTGCGGGTGCCTGTATGGCTTTGGGTTTAAAATTTGCTGGATCTGCCAATAGAAATGCTTTTAAAACTTTATATAATTATACCCAAATGTTTACAACATTATCACATAAAACTATCGCCGAATTAGCAGGAAAATCAACTATTGAAACCTGTTTAAATGTTACTTTACTTTCTGCTGCAATTGTAATGGCGGGAACTGGAAACTTAGAAGTAAATTTAATATATAATTATTTAATATTTTTATGTATATTATTTACTAATTTATTTATATTAAATTTTAGATTATGAGGATATGTCGACACATACGGACACGAGTGGGACCTGCAAGTAATGTTGTTACATATGGATCTCATTTAGCAACACACATGGCTCTTGGTTTCCTTTTTCTTGGAGGAGGCAAATATACTCTTTCTAACAATCCTAGTGCAATAGCTGCACTTATAATTTCTCTTTTTCCAAAATTTCCAACACATAGTAATGATAACAGGTTAATATCAGTATAATATATTTATTAAAATTGATTTATTATCTTAATAAATATTTTTATTATCAGATATCATTTACAAGCATTGCGACATTTATATGTACTTGCTGCCGAACCACGCGTAATTTTACCTAAAGATATTGATAGCAATCAATATTGTTATGCAACAGTACAATTAACATTTGAATCAGAAAAAGATGCCGAAGGACAAGATTTAATACTTCAGGCACCATGCTTATTACCACAATTATGTAATATTAAGAAAATTGAACTAAAAGATGACAGATATTGGGAAATTATTTTTGAAAAAGATAATAATTGGCAACAGCTTGAAAATATGCTTAAAAAATGTGAAATGTTAGGTGTTAAGCAAAGAGCTGGTTGTCTACCATATACAGAAGATCCACATGTAATTATAATTTAGATTTTTTATATAAAATTAAAATGCATTGAAATTTAATATTTTATAATAATATTTATTAAAATTATAAATATATTTTATAAATATTTTAGGGTTTTAGAAGTTTAATCGCTCAAACGTTAACAACAGAAAATGTTATTGCATGGGCTGCTCGTCCTGAATGTGTAACTTCATTTACAAATGATAAAACTATTTTAAATATAGTAAAATGTTTCTTACAATTACCTAAAAAAAATAAAATTAAAAATGAGATTATCATAAAGGTACAATCTTGTGGGAGCTCAGTTAAAAATAGTTCTGGATATTTATCTCAAAGTTTAAGTGATACATCTGAAAGAATAATATGTGATAGTTGGAATGAGCAATGTAATTCTAATGGAAAAGTGGAAATTATAGAATTATCTACTTTAAAAGATACAAGTTATTCATGTAAATATGAAGAACAATATTCTGAAATGTCAGAGTTTGAAAAATACTTTTTACATACATTCGCTATAATTGTATATGAATGTGTAATAAAAGATAAAGTTAATCTTCTTCCTTTATGGGTTAATTTAATAAAAAGTATGGAAATTATAGAAAAAAAACCAAATAGTTTTTCTATATGGCAAATAAAACTTGTTTCATCTCAAATGTTAAAAAAAATCTTACACAGAAAATAAAAATCCATTACTTGGTACAGAAAGCATACTTGCAATGAAGCAAAGAATTTCATATATTATGGATAGTTGGGAGCGCGGTATGTATCATAAATTTTTGTATTTTTATTTCTTTTTTTTAATAATCAATAATTCTTGTAGAATTAACATCACATATTAAATCTTATTTAAAAAATGGAAAAATTGATGGAAATATATCATTGTTACAAAAAATGTGCACATATTTCGTGTTTTATGACATTCCATATAAAACGGATTACCAAACAATCTGTAAGCTCAATTGTTTTATTTATTGATATATTTTTATATTTATTTATTTTTTATTATTATTACTTTAATTACAACTTATTTTTAGTGTCATCATTATTAAATACAGAGGTAAGGCTTAAAATATCTAATGTAACATTGTACAAATTATATAGAATATTAAAGTCAAATTAATCATGTTATAATTATATGAATAATTGAAAATAATTTTATATATAATGTTCAAAAAAAAGATCATTGAATTAATTTAATGAATTTGACAAAATAAAAAATATAAATTTATAATTTTCAATAATCTATTTAAGCATGAAAGTTTTGTTCAAAAGAAAATATTTTTTGTTTGTAATATAATGCATAAATATACATGATATAATATAATGATATTTATAATGAAATATAATGATATTTATAAACATAGTACATAAATGAATTGACAATATAATTAATAAAAAATTAATTTATTATTTTATATATTATAATAAATATTATTTACAATATAAAATAATTTTGAAAATATATTTTTATTTTTTTAATTCTTTTATATATATAAATATGTATGTAATTTATAAATAATTTAATAATCTTAATTACATGTTTTCAAAAATATGAATGGATAATTAAAAAAGTTATACAATAATTCCATATTAAAATATATAAATATTTAAAAATGTATATAAATGTTTATAGAATTTTTTAAATTTTATAAATTTACAGATTTTAAAATTTTTTAATAAAATTTTTATAACAATATAATATCTGTTAACTTTTCAGTCGCAAATAATTTTCTCAATTTTTTGTATGGGATATTTTTAAGTTAAATATTTTAATTCATTATGTGTTAATTACTTTTATATAAAAAAAACATTTCAAAAATGAAAAATTTTTGGATTTAATAACTTAAATTTAATAACTAGATATATCATGACAATTGTGATTCGTAAAATGAAAAAAAATAAAAATATTAGAATCCGCGTCTGAAGAGTTAAAACTTTTCAATTAATAATAGTTTTAATTCAAAATTTATCTAAATAATGAATTGCGTCTTCTATAAAATTGTTCTTCATGTATAATGGGAATATTGGTTATGATATATATTATATTATCAATCATTTCACCAATAAAAGTATAACAATATAAACAACCAATTAAAATACCCCCAAGATGTCCTATAAATGAAGATTGTGGAACTAAAAGATGAATTAAAATCAATTCAACCCAAACAGCAATTTTACTAGGAACTCTAAGTCCTCCAATATCATGAATCTTATCATATTCTTCACAAATTACAATTACTTTTAATGCAAATAAAATGGCAGAGAATCCAATAGCACATTGTACATAATATCCATAATCTCCTGTTAATTGCATTAAAACATAGCTTAATCCTATATACATAGTACTGCATCCAAATGAAAGAATAGTTAATAAAATAATAAAATTCATTGTTTTATACATAGGTTCTAAATATGAACCTTTCAAAATTAAAGATACCATATTATAGTACAAATGCATATCTGAACCATGTTCAAAGTTTGATATTATAAAAGAATTCCAATCATGATATTTAAATATTTTTATTGCTGATATACATACTTCTTCTGCATTCCATGGAACTTTTATGAAGCCAATATAAAGTAAAACCTGAAATATTATTATTTATAATAATTATATTAATTTATTAACTTCATTCAAAATTTAAATTAACTAATTATTTACTTGTGCAATGATCGTAAGTAAAGTAGCTGGTGGAATTTTATCAATACCAAAATTTAAAGCCTGTATATATAGCAAATAAATGCCATATTGCAAACCATGTTGTCTCCTTTGTATAGGTCTCATAATTCAATATTAATTTATAAATATAAAATTTTTTTATTGAATATTCAAAAATTTCATTTATATTTTAAATCATTCAAAAATAGATTTATTTTTAAGTTATAGGTTATAACATACACATACACAAAAACAAAATATATATATATTTTACTATATAAAATATTCAAATTATATTATATATCTTTTGCTTTATAATAATAAAAATAATATTTGTTTATAATATTTATTAAATAATATTTATTTTTATTATTGCAATGAAATAAGTTTATTAAACATATCGCTCCAACAGATGATACCGCATTGATCAATTAAGAGAATATAGATTGATTTATATTATTTTTATATTATACTTTCTTTTAAAATACTATTTTATTTATATATAAATAAATAATACGTATGAATTTGAAAGTATGAAAGTATTAAATATCTTATTTTATTTTTCTAAATCATATCTCAACATTTATTTAAAATTATTTTTGATGAAAGAATTATAAAATATCAGTATATTTTTTGCAATTTGATAGAAATTAAAAAAAATGTTTATTTATAAAATAAATATACATATTACATTGAACTTTAATATTAATTTTTGTATATTAAGTTATAAAATCAATAAATAATGAGAAATGTTTCCTTGCATATTACAAATCACACAATGTATATAAAATATACGTATAAATGACACGTATTATACATACATATATATATATATATATATATATATATAGTGTTAGCCGTCTTTTTTACAAATTGATATTTAAAATACTAAAACATACAAAAATATTGTTAATAAATAGATTGTAATAATATTAGTAAAAAATAGTTTAAAAGACTCAGCTTGAAAAACCAGGATTTGTGTGTTCTATAATGCATCTACGGCAATAATGTTTTACTGCTCTGTATCCAACCCATGTAACTCTAGAACATTCACCAATATTGAGTTGTCTTAATCCTCGTACATAATATGCTAATGCTTCTAATCCAGCATCTGTGACACGTTCACAACCACACAAAGACAATTTTTTCAAATTTGGACAACCAGTAGAAAGGGCTTCAAGAGTTGCATCACCAATATCACATTTTCCTATATCAAGAGCTCTTAAACGTGGGCATCCACGTGCCAAAGCTAACGTAGCACTATCACTAAGTGCTTCACAGCCACGAGCATTTAAATATCTCAATTTATAACAATGCCTAGCAACAACTAATAGACCAGCATCTGATACACGATCACATTTTCCTACTGAAAAATAACGCAAAGATGGGCCAAGACGTGCTGCTAATTCACGTACTCCAAAATCAGTGATTTTTACACAATCCGAAACAGATAATTGACGCAAACTGCCACAATAAGAGGCAATTGCAATAAGAGTTGCATCAGTTATACGCACACATCGTCGTAAGTACAAACAAGCAAGATGTGGCATGCGAGATAATGTCAATACTAAGCCAGAATCTTCCACATCATGACAATCACTAAGATCTAATGATTGTAATTGTAATGTAGTTATTCGACTACATGCTCTTGTTATACTAATACATCCTGTTAAGTCCAATTCTTTTAGATGTATGCAATTATCTAAGATAACTGTCACATTTGTGTCTGTAACACGTCGAGAATGTCGTAAAACTAATGAAGTTAAGCTTAAAAACGGTAATTGGGCAAAAATTCCAGTTAAACCAATAGCACCTTCAATTATTAGACGACGAATATATGTATGACATCCTCGTCTGGTTAAGGCATTTAATGCAACTGTTGCATTTTGCGGATATCTTATTTCTACTTCTTTCCAAAGAGATGGATGCCATGCTATTTCCCAAAGACGTCTGCAAGTTTGAGCAATGGAACATAGATCTCTGGTACCCAACCAACTAAATATCTTCAATAATAAAGTATCATCCAATTGACACAAATCTGTTACATAAATGCACTTCTGTTGCAATAAAATTTGTTGTCTAATTGGAACTGGTATAATAGTTGATGCAGATGATGAACGGCAGGCATTATTATCTAATGTATGATATCCTAAATCAATAGTATCTGATGTTGGTCTATATAAACCAATCTTTTGGGATGAATATGAAGTTTCAGAATTGTCCTTTTCCTCAAAGGATGGAAGCAAAAGTGGACATGATCCATCCATTCCATGCTCTATTCTGTATTAAAAAAAAGAAAAACATTTCCAAATTGCAATAGAATTTATTAAAAATTATTTGTAATTTCTTCATATTTTACAATTTTAATATTATATTCTAATAATATTTATATTTCCATAAAACTTAATATTAAAAAAAAAATTAGCAAAGAAAAAATGAAAATAAATTTTAATTGAAAAAACCAGCTTTAATATTAGAACTTAAATTTCGCGGGTATGTTGATCAATTAATTATTTTATTAAGTAAATAACACAGAATGTGACGAATAAATTTTAAATTTAAATATTTACTTACTATCATGCAATAAATAGAAAAATCAGCAACAATACGTAACATTACGGAACAATATCGATCTATTTGGCAGTGACTCCATTTTGATCATATTCCAATTCTTGAAGCAGCTGGAGATCGTAATTACTTTATATAATAAAAATGCAATATATTAATATTTTTAGAAATATTAAATAATATACATATATTTTAAAATTACTTAATTACATAGTTAAAATTAAAAATTGTAGCGAAAATATTAAATTTGAAATATACTTATTTATAAAGCTCCAATACTATCGATAAATTCCCACTTTTTAAATAGACCTTTTTAAGGTGATTTCCATTAGTCAATTTTACACAATTTTTTTTAATATAAATTTAATTTAAAATTTTTTACATTTACATTTAATTGATAATAATTTATAAATTTTTTTTATACTTGTTTATTTTATTTTCTTGATATATATTTTTTCATAATTTGCAATATAAAATAAAATAAAAATACAAATTATAATACTATTTAATTTAATATTATATGAAAAATTATATGAATTTTATACTATAATGTTTATTATAAAATATATATATGAAGTATACAAATTTACATCGAAAAGAAAATATGTATAATATAATCATTATATACATATAAAATTTTGTAAATCTACCTTAAGAAATCTTGAATATATATTATTAGATATAGTCAGTATTGTTGAAAAGAATGTAAAATTCGACGTGGAAGAAATAGAGCAGAAATAAACTAAAGAAAAATTGAGAATTACCAACTGAACTATAGTTTTTTAATTAGTTTGTTCCTTTACTATTCTATAATCTACTATCTATTATAATCTATATATAAATTATAATTTACTATAATCTACTAGATTATAATCTGATATCAAATGTGGATGTTTTCCAATAAATTTATATATTATATCATATATATTATATATTATTAGATTATTTCTAATACTTTGCTTAAAACATATTTATAAGTGAAAACAAATAATATTATAATATTAAAATTAATTTAATTATTTTATTAATTATTTTATCAAAATGGCTAATACTTTAGCTAATGTACCTGTGTCAAAAATTATAAAAAATAAAAGCAATTTCGAAGATGAACCAAAAAAAAAAAGTAGAGAAGATTGGAGAAAAGCGAAAGAATTGGAAGAAGCAAGAAAAGCTGGTACAGCACCAGCTGCAGTAGATGAAGAAGGCAAAGATATTAATCCACATATACCACAGTATATTAGTGCTACACCATGGTATTTTGGAGCTCAAGTATGTATTGACTTTTACAAAATTGATTTTTTTGTAATAAAATTAATACTTATAAATAATTCTTTAAGGGACCTACTTTAAAACATCAAAGACCACAACCAGAAAAACAAAAAAAGTATAGTGGTATAAATGAATGGTACAAACGTGGTGTAGATTCATCTAAAATAGCAACTAAGTATCGTAAAGGAGCATGTGAAAATTGTGGAGCAATAACTCACAAAAAAAAAGAATGTATGGAACGTCCACGTAAAATAGGTGCGAAATATACAAATGCAAATATAGCACCAGATGAGTTTACTCAACCAGAATTATCTACAGATTATGATGGCAAAAGAGACAGGTAATTTTTTTAGGATTAGACAGGTAATTTAATATATTTTATATAATATATTTTTTTTAATTTGTAAGATTTATTTTATAATAATTTTAAATGTATTTATTTAATATACAGATGGGCTGGTTATGATCCTTCACAACATAGAGCTATTGTTGAAGAATATCAAAAGATTGAAGAAGCAAAAAGACAAATGCGTGCAGAAAAATTAAATGCAGAAGGAAATGATGAACAAGATTCAGATAAAGATGAGGATAAATATGTTGATGAAGTTGATATGCCTGGAACAAAAGTAGATTCTAAACAACGTATTACTGTTAGAAATTTACGAATTAGAGAAGATACAGCAAAATATTTAAGAAATTTGGATCCAAATTCTGCATATTATGATCCTAAAACGAGATCTATGCGTGATAATCCTTATGCTGGTACAGATAGAGAGTATGTAAAATTATTTTATAAATTTCTTCATTTTTTAATATAATAAATAATTTAATACATAATTTAATAAATAATAATACATAAAAAATATTAAAAATTATATTTATTTTTAAAAATAACAATTCTATAGGGTAGATTATAAAGGTGAAAACTTTGCACGTTTTTCGGGAGATACGCAACGACATGCAAATGCACAATTATTTGCATGGGAAGCACATGAAAGAGGTGTTGATGTTCATTTGCTCGCAGAACCTACAAAATTAGAATTACTTAAACAGGAATATGATAAAAAGCGCGACGAATTAAAAGATAAAACTCGTGAAAGCATAATTAGTACATATGGAGGTGAAGAACATCTCAATGCTCCTCCACCTTCTCTTTTATTAGCACAAACAGAACAATATGTTGAATATTCTAGATATGGAAAGGTATGTATGTATATATTATTAAAGTTAATTAAAATATAATAGTTATGATTTATTCATAGATTATTAAAGGACAAGATAGACAAATAATTAGATCAAAATATGAAGAAGACATTTATCCAAATAATCATAATTCTGTTTGGGGATCCTACTGGCATACTGGTAAATGGGGATATAAATGCTGTCATTCATTTATAAAAAATTCGTATTGTATAGGAAATGCAGGTAAAAAAATTGTTGAAATGATAACAGTTGATAGAGATGAATCGATACCATGAAAGTATAAGATACTATTATTCATTACTTATATTGTATGACTCAGTACTAAAATTTGTTCAATTCAAATTTATTCAAAACAAAAATATTAATATCTATTTGAATTATACTTTTTTAATTTTGATAGCTAATATTTCATATGATCAACATGAAGTAAGAAAATAAAAAAATGTTATATATAGATATCAACAAGATAGGATGAATCAATTCAGTTTGAATATAAAAATTATTTATATTTTGAAAGAAAATAAAATACAATATTATACTTTATATATATATATTATTTAAATTTATTTATATATAATATATACTTTATTAAATTTATTTATATATTAATTATATATAAATATATATATTTATATATATTATTTGTATATATATTTATATATAATTTAATAAATAAATTGTATAGTAATATATATATTAAATATGTATATAATAAATATATAAATTATATGAAATATATGTAATGTAAGATATATATATATATATATATAATATAATAAAAATAATAAAGATTACAGATAAATAAAACTTATTTAAAATAAGTTAAATAGCAGAAAAATAGTAAGAAATTAAAAAAATTAAAGAAATATCAACAAAAGTTTAAAATTCAAGAAATAAAATAAATAATGTGATTTAATAAAAAAATAATTTTTAATTTTTTAAGAATAATATATTTTCTAGATATTTATTTAAAATTTCTTAATTTTTAGTAACTGTTATTCCTGCCTTTGAAAACAGTCTCTTACAAGAAATTGAAGCAATAATCAGAAAAAAATTCTAGTTTAGATGATGGAAATATTAATTTTATTCTCATTTTTCTAATGATTGCTAATGAACAAAGAGAAGAATATAAATACATAATCAATTTATCATTTTTATTATTAGCTTTTTTTTTTTTTTTTTTTTTGTATTTATAACCATGAGTATATTTTCTTATATTTTCAGAGATCATATTCTAAAATTTCTTCTATTTCTTCTACTTCAATATTGCACAATTCTATGACTTAATAAATCTTTTAATTTTTGGATTATTCTTTTCTAAATATTTGTATATTTAAAATGTATATTTTTAAAATAATCTCTAAGAATAGTACATTAATATATTAAATAATATGTATCTCAATTTTCAGTAATCTGAATTTCTCGAAGGTTCTGAAATAAGTCTTGAGTTAAATTGTTTAGTTGTTAAGTTATTTATTATGTTAAGTTTTTTGATTAAGTTCTTGAATTTTTTGCCAAGATTTATTATTCTATTTCATGACTTTTTTAGAATTTTTTAGAATTTTTTTTTATCATACAGTATTTGAAACATAGATTTCTATGGAATATAGAATTCTGAATTCACAGAAGATATTTTTCACCAGAAAAAAGTAAAGATTTATTTCAAACTTGTATGATTTATACAAATCATTTATATAAATAATTTTCAAATAGTAACTTCTGTCGATAATTCAATAGCAATACCAATTCATATCTTCAGTTTGTCAATTTAGTGATGAATTTTTTAATTTTAATTAACTAAACTTGCATTCAAATTTAATTATAATAAAATATATGTAATTAATAAATTAAACAAAAATAATGAGATAGAAATGTATATGATTTCATGACCGATGGAATATAAATAGCAATACTATATATATAATAGTCAATTTTCTTTATTTTTTAGAATCACTTCATTTTAAGTTATGATTTCATTTCGAATTTGAAGAATGATTTTGAAACGATAGAGGAATCTTATTCTTAAAAATTGCTTTAAATTTAAATAATAAAAAAATTCTTGGCTTGCCAATGATTCTTGGTTTACTCTAAATTTAATGAGTTAGCAGCACTTCTTGGAAACAACTTGAAATTTTAGAGTTAAAACTAGAAAAACTGAAATGATAATTGCTCAAAATGAAACTTTGCATATTTCAAGATTAATAAGAAAGATAGCTATTAATTTTTCATTATTAAAAAAACATTAAAAATTAATATTTATATTTAAAAATAAATGTACAATAAAAAAATAACCAATAAAAATTAATAATACAATAAATCGTCGATTGGATATTTTGAATGATTTATAAATATATCTATTTATAAAGGGAAAAATAATAATATGGATGAGATTAAATCATATTTTTACTTGCTTAAAGAAAATTATACGAAAGTTTATTAATTTGAGCGAACAAGCAGAAACAAAATGTATGTTAGGAAAAAAATATGACTATAAATGTTTTAGTAATTAGTTAGTAATTAGCGATCATAAAGATACTTAAATCACTACATTCTAATTCATACTAATTCAACATATAAATCATTAAACATCACATAAATTATTTTGATTGTATCTATAAATAACTTAAATTATTTAGTCATAATTTTCGTTAGATATCTAGAATATCAATACATATATATTTCGAATAAAATATTGATATTATTAATATCATAATATTTACACTTAAAAGTAACAAAATCTAATAATAAAAGTAAATCACTTATTTAAAATAAATGTTTTAATTATAGAATAATTAAAAATATGTTATAGAATTATTTATTCGAAGTGCCAGTTTTCAATAGACAACGAATCTAAAAATAATAACCATTAATATTTTTAACTTAAAAGATTTTCTTCTTCCAAATTCTATCTGTTACATTACTACTTTCTTAATTCCTATCTAAGATATTTAGTATAGATTATAAGACATTCTCAAGAGATTGAAAAAGAAATTAATTAATCACAAATGAAAAGCTGGTGATTGGTCCATTTTTTTAACAATTTATTTTGTTATTATAGCAAATAATTATATTGAAATTTCAATATTTACGGATTAAGTATCAATATTTTAATGTTATCACATAAAATATCAATATGAAATATCAATATTTGGATTGAAAAATTAACATAAAAATTTCGATTAAGATTTATTTATTAAATTATAAATTGAAGTTTGCATTAGATAAACCAAAACGAAAATAGAGTGAAATCATTTTATCTCTGTTATATTGCACTTTATTCCTGTTTTGCTTCATCTAATGTGAATTTCAATTGTTTATAATTTAATAAATAAGATTCAACCGATATTTTTATATAGCAATTTTTGTGTTTATTTTGGCCTTCAGAGTTGACTCTCCAAAGGTATGTCATAAATATATTAATATTTTACATATTTAAATATAAAATTATATATTTAAATGAATAATTATACATATAAAATAAAATTAAGTACATTCTTATATTAATTATATTATTAATCATAATTATAAAAGATTATTATAAAAATTCTTATTATATATTTTATGTTAATTAAATTAATTAAATTAATTTTGTGCAGCATAAAATACAATCAATCTATTGAAAATACATTTAGAAACAAAAATTGATTTTTTATTTTCATCGGAAAAACGTTTTACCGGAAACGAATTTTTCGGCGGGATAGTTAACGGAAATTGGTGTCGCCACACGAACACCGTTATGTGAAGTATTAGAGTTGCGAATCTATAATATAAGTGACCAAGATATCTAGATATCGTATCTTTTGAGGGAAATATATGTATAGGTACGTTATGTGTATATACACTTACATGTTCATATATATATATACACTATATAGTATACATATATATATCACACCTAAGTGCTCTCTTGAACAAATTATGGCATTGTCTCTTATCAGGGGTAAGGGTCTGCAATACGGAAATTCGCAGTTACGTTTCTTATCCAACATCTCGGCCATGAAGGTAATTATAATATATATTTATTCATATATAGCGAATAGTATTCATTGTTGTTTTTTAGATAAATTTTTATATTCTAATTTTACGCAAGAAATTGCCAAAATGGAAAAGTTTGGTTTCCAACATCGTAGAAAAGAAAATGGGAGAAACCCATTCTTTTTGATTGAGATATTCAAGTTATGAATAATTTTGGTGAAAAATCAAATATTATTTCTATTTTTTTAATTTTTTCTAAGAATTTAATTTTAAAAAAAAAAGCGATAAATATGTTTTATGAAATTATGATATGTATTCTTAGATTTTTATATTCGATATTTATTCTTGATATTTTAATTTCTAACAGAAAGGATTGGTGCTTGGTATATACGAAGCAGAAGATGAAAACAACATTTCATTGACTCCTACGGCAATTAACTATGACGAACTAGTTAAAGGAAAACTGCGACAAAATATTTTTTTGTAAGTCTGAAATTATATTAGTAATTTCTAACATATTTTGTATCATAATATTTTATATTATAATTATATCACATATCTCTGTAAAATCTGTGTTAATATTATTTTTACTAAATATATTTTTTTTTATATAATATGTGAAATCAGATCATAGGTGTGTATCCAAGTATAAATATTATAGATAACATTGAAGTGTTTTTCTTCAAATCAAGCAAATATCAATCAATAATTTAAAATAAATTAAATGTATATAAATTACATTGAATTAAAACAAGTATAAATTGTAATATAAAGTATATAATTTTATATATTTATTATTCTTGTATTTTTATCTTACATATTATATGGATTAATGTTAATGAATATTTAAATGTTTTATTCATAGTTCCAGCCTGAAACAATTTTCATAATGCTGCCTGAGCTTCACATATAATATTCAGAAATGCTTTTCCTTTATTATTTTAAAAATTTTACATAAAGTATTTTCTGTTAATAAAATTCAATTTGAATGAAATTTGTGTTCTATGAGCTCACTGGCATTATTTTCATTGTTTCAGGAGAGACTAGACTGAGAGACGATATTGTACGCATGATATGAGGCAAAAATTCGCTGCACAGAAGAAGTTACCAGATATTTATTTTGTTATATAAAAAATTTTAACAATATATTATTTATAAAGCAATTATTTCTATAGATTGATTAATATTAATCAAGTAAAATCATGTCAGAGGAATTTAAATGGAACTTTGAAAAATATGAAATTTAAAAAAACAGATTAAAATTACCAGATGTATTTTAAAATAATTAAATGTATTTTAAGAAATATTATTCAATTAAGAAGAAAGATGTCAGCTATCAATGATAGTAATTTGGGAAATGATACCACTGCTGGAAGTAGTGGAGGTATAGGTGAATATAGTGATAGAATGAATAAACAACATCATTCTGCAAATGTTCTTCATAGAATTAGTGGTACACTTGAAGATAAAAGTAATGATTATTTATGTCCTATTTGTTTTGAGGTAATTGATGAAGCTCATATCACACGTTGTGGTCATACATTTTGTTATCGATGTATAGTAAAATCTTTGGAAGCCAATGGTCGTTGTCCAAAGTGTAGTTATACATTAACTCAACAAGATATTTTTCCAAACTTTTTGTTACATGAACTGATATCAAAATATAAAACTAGAATTAAAGGTCTTGCTGAATTGGGATCATCATATGCAGCTGATGGTAAACACAAATTAGGTAATACAGATTTATCTGTGCCACCTCATGATGGATTAAGAGATATTATAGCTGCAGAAAGTGCTAATCTAACATTACCTGATGTAAATGTAATGTTAGAAGTATTAACACAAAGAAAACATTTACTAGAAGCAGAAACATGTGCAGCACAAAATAAATTGTTGCATGAGTTTTTAAAACATTTATTACAACAAAAAGAAGAACAAAAAAATCAATTACAAAAGGAGATAGCATTAATTAAGAGAGATATGGATGAGGTTGAAAATATTTTAAGAGATGTTCAAAATAAATGTCCTAAAGTAGAAGACTTGAAGAAATCAAGTGAAAATGATACTGCGCATGTATCAGCTATAAGAAAAGAAATGATTGGTCTTATAGACATAATAGATTCAAATATGGTAAAACCAAATGAAAAAGCAAATGTTATTAGCAGTGATACATTTATTAATCCTACAGGAAGTAAGAAGCAAAATGATTATGCAATAGGATCTACATTAGCAACACGTAGAAAGAGGATGCATGCTCATTTTGATGATTTTGTTCAATGTTATTTTGACTCTCGTGCTAAAGAACTACTCCTTGGTCATAAATCTCAAAGTCAGAGTGATTCATGGCAAGGCACTAGTTCAGGTCTTGATGTTTTTAGAGAAAATCTTGTCAAATTTTCAAGATATAAATCCTTACGCCCACTTGCAACTTTAAATTATTCATCGGATATTTTTAATAATTCCACTATTGTTTCAAGTATTGAATTTGATAAAGATAATGAATTCTTTGCAATAGCTGGAGTTACAAAACGTATAAAAGTATTTGATTATAGTGCTGTAATAAGAGATACTGTAGATATACATTATCCTTGTGTTGAAATGGTTTCTAGTTCTAAAATATCATGTGTTTCATGGAATTCTTTTCACAAAGGAATGCTAGCATCATCTGATTATGAAGGAACTGTAACAGTATGGGATGCTGCAACTTGTCAAAGAACTAAAACATTTCAAGAACATGAAAAGAGATGTTGGTCTGTTGATTTCAATGATGTAGATACTAAACTCATAGCATCAGGGTCAGATGATGCTAGAGTTAAGTTATGGTCTTTAAACAATGATCATTCTGTAGCTTCATTAGAAGCAAAAGCTAATGTATGTTGTGTAAAATTTAATCCACGTAGTTCATGTCACTTGGCATTTGGATCTGCAGATCATTGTGTCCATTATTATGATTTACGTAATATGAAAGAAGCACTTTGTATTTTTAAAGGACACCGTAAAGCTGTTTCGTATGTTAAATTTATAAATAAGGAAGAAATAGTATCTGCAAGTACCGATTCGCAATTAAAAATGTGGAATATTAATAATCCGCACTGTTTGCGATCATTTGTCGGACATGTTAACGAAAAGAATTTTATAGGGCTTACTACTGATGGTGATTATGTAGCATGTGGATCAGAAAATAATGCACTTTATGTATATTATAAAGGACTTTCAAAACAGTTATTCTCATATAAATTTGATGCCGTTCGAAGTATATTAGAAATACAAGAACGAAGAGAAGAAGATCTGAATGAATTTGTATCTGCAGTTTGTTGGAAACAAATGTCCAATGTTGTAGTAGCAGCAAATTCTCAAGGAACTATTAAGATATTAGAATTAGTTTAAAGTTAATTATGAATTCTATAATCCTTAACAGATGTTGATATACATATATATTTTAAAATTTATGCAATTAAGTGCTTAAGCACAAATAACAACGAGAAGTGAAAATTTATTCTAAATGTTACAGTAATTTGTTGTAAGCAAAATTGAAAAAAAAATTTAGAATATATTAAAAACTAAATTATCATATTAGAGACTGATTTACTTGAGAAAGTAATATTCTGTGTACCAAACAGCTCAAATATTTCATTATGTTTTTATTAAATATTTCAGTACTGTTATATCATTCTGATTTAATTGTTTTTCAATTTAGATATATTTTTAATAATAGACTGAATTTTAATAATAAATAATTCTGAAGATATATTAGTGATATATGTATGCATACAATATTTTTTAATTTAAAACATGGCCTTTTATAAAATTATATTAATTTAGTTATATTTGAAATTAATGTATTTCTATGATAATTATTAGCACAATTCAAATATAATAAATCATTATTAGCATAATTAATAATTAGCATTTATTAATGCAAAACTTTATTATTATTACTTACTATTATATTATTATATTAATTATCTGTATTTTTTTATTTTTTATTCTTAATTACATAATTAGTTTTACATAGTAGTAGTATTTGTTCATAATTAAATCAAATAAGTTATTTAATAATACATAGATTTTTTAGCTCTATAAATAAGATTTGTGAATGTTGAATGAAATATAAAATTTTATAATTCCAAACAGCTTGTAATGTAAAAAATATTTTTGTGAACATATAACAATATATAAAAAAGTAAAATATTTTAAGTAATTAATTCATAATAATTGTGTGACATAACTTTAATTATATAACATGTGATCCTTATAATAAATCTTGCCAAAGTAGCCTAATAATTTAAATTTAAAAAATAAAAAATTAATATATATAAATTGATATAATATTGATACTATCAGTTTAATTCAATTTGTGCCAAGAACATCACAGAAATAGTAAATGTTTAAATTGCATTAAGTTCCTATTATCAAAGTCATAATCACTATCTTATATATTAATATCAGAGCTAAGGAAAGATAGAATTTATAATAAAAAAACAATAATTAATGTTTTTTTTTTTACTTACAGAAATATACTATTATAATTGAATAAGTTAATTGCTTTGAAAAATATTAATAATTATAGATATAATGATTTTATTTTATTGAAAAAATAAATTTATTTTTGAAAATATTATTTTACTTAGCTCTGAGTTCTAAACAAATTTATAGCTCATTTATCAATATCAATATGTCAATTTTTATAATAATTTCTTCACAATTTATATAATAATAATTATTAAGCAAATAACAAATATAAAACCCCATGACAAATTTATATATTTAACTTTATGTATATATATATATATATTAAGAAGAAAGCAAATTTTTTTAAATAATAACGTAATGTTACATTTTATTACATACATTCAAAGATAATTCTTTATTGTTGTAAATTTATCAAATAATATCAAAATATATTAGATAATTACTGTTTACTGTTAATGTATTATATGAGTGCAAATCAATTATCTCCATATAAATCAGAATATAATTGTGAATTAATATGTAGTTCTTGTGAAAATTGTGAAAAATAATTGTAATTTTAAATTAACTATTAGCTAGAACAATTATTAGAGATATTAATTAGGATAATTTTAAAGAAATATATTCTAGGATTTATGTAAAGAATAGTATATTTTTAGATTGTATTTTAAAATTGCAGATGCTATAGCATGTGCTGATACATGTCCAAGACGCCTAGAATTATTGTAAGAAATAAATTTATGAATTTGTCTCAGTATGTCCTTCAAAAACTTTTTCTGATTTTATGTACATATCCCTTTTATGTTATTAATTTATATTGGATAATTCTATTGGATAATTAATTTTAAATAATATTTCAATACTTGTACTACTACAGAGCAGGTCCAAAAATTCCCAAAGGTCATGCTAGAGTATTTTGGGGTTTGGATGAAAAAGATTATGCAGGAATTGCAGTTGTTGGCCTCGGAAAAAAAAAATCTTGGCATAAATCAGCTTGAAGAAATACATGAAGGAAAGGAGAATATACGTATAGCGGCAGCAGGTACATATTTTATAAGCAGTTAAATATATCTATTAGATAAACATTTTCTTTATATCATATTTTAATTAATTAATATAATAATATTGCACTAGCTGGTTGCCGTGCATTAGATGCAGTTGAAATAAAAGATATACAGTTAGAGGCTTTAGGAGATGCAGAAGCTGCAGCAGAAGGAGCTGCATTATCAATGTGGTTTTATCAAGGATTGAAAAATAAGGAAAAACAAAAAATACTTCCAAAAGTTTCATTGTATGGTCAAGAAGGAGAGTAAGTATTATGTACTTTTACATATTCTTTTACATATTCATTCATATTTTTCAGCTTAATAAAAATTATTTTTTCAAGGGAACAGTGGCGAATTGGAAGTATTAAGGCTCAAGCTCAAAATTGGGCGCGTCATTTGGCAGATACTCCAGCCAATTTAATGACACCTACAATATTTTCTACAGAAGTGCATACAGTTCTTACTAAATTAGGAATTACTGTACAAATTCACAATGAAGAATGGGCAGAACAGAAAAAAATGGGTTCTTTTCTTAGTGTATCACATGGTAGTTGTGAACCACCAAAATTCATTGAAATTCATTACAAAAATGCTGATAATAATTCCCAACCAATTGTCTTTATTGGAAAAGGTGTCACTTTTGATGCTGGCGGCATTAGTCTTAAGGTAAAATAAATTTAAATATTTAATATAAATTATATATAATTTAATATAAATATATAATTTTAGCCTTCAGCTGATATGGATGAAATGCGTGCAGATATGAGTGGTGCTGCATGTGTAGTAGCTGCTATTCGAGCTGCTGCAGAACTTAAACTAAAATTGAATATTATTGGTTTGATACCTCTAACTGAAAATTTACCATCTGGAACTGCAACTAAACCAGGAGATGTTGTAATTGCAATGAATGGAAAGAGTATCATTGTAGATAACACAGATGCAGAAGGTAGACTTATTCTTGCAGATGCCCTTTGTTATGCTCAAGAATTTAATCCAAGGTAATGGATATATTATATTAATAAATTAGGAAATATATAATAATAAATATGATAATATAGATATTCATTAAATATCTTTTGTATATAGTTTTATCTTGGATATTGCAACGCTAACGGGTGCTATGAGAATTGCCTTAGGTGGAGCAGCAACTGGAGTTTTCACAAATAATAGCACATTGTTTGAAAAATTAAAAAATGCGGGCACTCTTTCTGGTGATAGAGTATGGAGATTTCCACTTTGGCAACATTTTACGGATGAAATGACAAGTACGAGAGAAAATAATTTAATATTTAATATTATTTAAAATAATTTAATATTTAATATTATTTTTAATGTTGAAAATAGTAATATTTTAAATAATGGGATTTTATTTGCAGAAAAAGTTAAGTCAGCTGATGTGAGAAATGTTGCAAAAATTAAAGGTGGAGGTTCATGTACTGCAGCTGCATTTTTACGCGAATTCGTATCGAATAATACTCCATGGTTACACTTAGATATTGCAGGAGTAATGGGTCCTGGACCTGATAAGTTACCATATATACCAGCGGGAATGACAGGTCGTCCGACTCGTACGCTGATCCAGTTTTTACAGGCATTGTGTTAAAATTGACAACTATTTTAAGTTGTATGGTGCAAGTTTATCTATTTTTATATATACGTATACATATGTGTACATACACATGTATATATATGTATATATAATTTCATTTTCTATATATATAGAATATATATAACTTCATTTGCTATATATATATATATATATATATATATATATATATATATATATATATA